TGAGGAAAAGCCATAATCTTAGAAACAGCTTTAGGATATTTAGAGCAGATATGGAGCAAATGGTCTTACGGCTGATCAGAGACGTCTCATTGGAGGAGAAGACCCAACAATGCTTAAATAAAAGGCTCATACATAGTACTTGTTTTATAGATCAAAGGTGTAGTGGAAGTTTGTGTTTCATCAGTTCAGGATATGAATGCAGAAGTTCGTGCTTGCAGTCTCCTACCTGATGGCTCTTTCTCCCAGTGTAGAAAGTTCATGTATTCAGAATATTCTAGATACAGGTACCAGAATTTCTTCTTCAGCAAGTGTAGAGCAGGATTCTGTCAGGGCTTATTCCCTAGATATTTCTATATCTGAAAGGATCCCCAAACTGGATTTTCTGCTAAAGTTCAGTTTTAATTGCTGGAGACTCAGGAAATTGCATAGTTGGCCTGAAATCTCCCCTTTTTTTCCATAAACCTCTTCCTGTTTGGAAGAAGCTGAGTTCACAAATGTGAAAGTTATGAGACTAGAATATCTACTATTCTCTGCTGCAGTGTGGGTAAAAAAATGTTCATTTGTTATGGAGAATAAGGTCTAGTGCACAGTCTGCAACACCTTGGATTTGCTAGATTTGTGGCAAGACCTTTTAAGGAATTAATACTTGGTATATAGTGTATCCTAAGTTAATATTAAATTTTAATAACTAGCTCAGTTTTGGAGTTAAATGTCTGGATGTAAAATGTTTAATAGTTTCCTTGAATAATAAATTCTAAAATTAACCCTTAGTGCCATTTTTCTTTGATGCAGTGTGTGGCTTTAGGCATCTGCTTGTGTGGCATCATAAGAGGGATATGGTCTCACCACTTGAACAAGGCCACCTTGACTTGGCATCACTTATATTGGATGTGAATCATGTACTTTTGGACCATCTCTGTGAAGAGATTATTTGTCATATACCAAGCATATCTCTTGCTTTGTTACTACATCTACCAAAAATGTTGGGAAAGAACTCCAGAAATAGGGCAGTGATTTTTTTTATTCTTTCTCATTCTGTTGCTTATTGGCGCTTTTTGATGTTCCTGCTAAAATCAGTGGAAGAGAGGTGGTTCATGCGTTGTTTTCTGTTTTGGCTTATAGTTTTGGTTTTCTTCACAGAGATGGATGGTAGTCAAATGTTTTCTACTGTTAAGCTTTTTAATAGGAATTTTATGTTGTCTTCTGCAAGTTTTTTGTGTTTTCATTTTCTTCTTTAAGCATGGAGTTATTGCTACAGAAGATGAAGAGTATTTTATTGAGCCTTTAAGGAATATAACAGAAGATTCTAGTAACTTTAATTATGAGAGTGGTCATCCTCATGTTATATACAAAAAATCTACCATGCACCAACAACATCTGTATGATAACAGTCACTGTGGAGTCTCAGGTAAATAAGTGTCATTCCTTTCAAAAAAATAAAACTTAAGATGTATTTTAAAATCTTGCTTGGTTCACTTTTAATACACAATGGGGAATGTAGCAATGAGAATCCTCCTTTTGGGTGATGCACTGTGCCCTCTTTAGAAGTAGATTTGCCTTTTTTTTCAGATTCAGATTGAGCGTTCAGTGTCTTTCAAAAACTGAGATGCTGGGAGCAAGTCTTGTTTTTTTTGTCTTTGTTGTGTAGAGTGGCAGTAATTAGCACATGGTTCATCAAAATGTACTAAATTTTCTTTATTCCCCAACTGGAAAGCATGATTGAGTGACTCAGTATAACAGCTCAATCTATAGTAGGCATTCCATCTCATTTGAGGATACTTGACATGCAACAAATGTGTTAGTATTATGATTAGGAACTGGGGTCCGCATCTCTCTAATGTACAGAGGTTTATGGTGTTTTGATACCGGTTTTTGGTTCAGTGAGTAGCATCATTCCATAATAGTTGAATATATGATTTCCAAGTGCCTTATGGGATGGATTATATAGTTTTGATTGAGAGATAGTTTTCTTATAAAGCAGTGTTAACGAAATACACTTTTCAAGTACTCTTTGACATGATTTTCACTTGCTTAAACTGAAGCTGAGGACCAACTCCTTAGCCAGCATGGAGTAAATCGGACTAGTTATTTTAGAGCACTAAAAGAATGTGCTTTTTACATAATAGAAAAATGTTCTAACCTTGTCATTGTTTATATCTCAGAAGTAGCTTATTCTTAAAATCTCAGCCCTGGACAGTTGTATTCTGTGAGATATAGTGCACAAGGAAAGCTAACAAATATTAATCTTAAAATAATTTTGCTTTTTTTAATTGTAATATCTTTCAGCTTCTTTTGGAAGTTGTACTTTTGATGGCTTCAGCTGACTAAACTTTAACTACAGATTGTGTACAGAGGCCCATGCTTAGGAGGCAGTTTTTCACGAGCGTTTCAGTTAACTGTGGTTAGGGAATGTCAGGCTTTATATATGTAACTTCTGGTTTAGTTTGGAAGCATTATTCTGTCTACATGCTTCTAATATTGCAAAACAATTCCCCTGACTATTACTGCCTGCTGATTGTAAAATCAGGATACTCACATATGTTCATCTTGTAGGGAAGGCTGTCACTTAAGCCTCTTGAAATAAGTGGAAGGATTATGAAATGCAGGATGATGCAGTTTTTAACATTCTGATATACCCAGAAAAAGAAAGGACGTTTGCCTCTGTCAGATGGTGTCTTCTAGAATAGTGCTCAGGAAGTCATTCTCCAAGTGAAGATGAAGCAGTGGCAGCTAGTTTGGTCAGGTTGCATTCAGCCATTCTGGCAGTTTCTGTTGTACAGATCATAAGTTGATCAGAGCTATGCGTCTTGCATGCATTTTTTGTGAAGCATGTAGTAATCTGTAGCATTTATTCCTTTGTATATTTGATGCTGCCTTTGTTTTTGGAAGTTTCTGTGCTTTTTCTGAGTTTTCACATCTGACACATCATGCAGCCCTTGATTATTGCAATGCTAAAGCACTGCTTTCTATGAGCCTGAGACTATCATGCTTATTCATATGTTTCTCCTTCTCCTGTTGTTTTGTATACTACTTTCAGTACTTAAAAATTCCTGAAAAAAAATGTTGTCCCCTAGAACTGCAAGGTTTTACTTCTCTAGATCACCTGCTATTATAATGTTTTCCTCATGTGTACCAAAATCTTTAAACTTGTTTTCTGAGTACTATGCAGCTTTATCCCAAAATGACATGGCATCCAAAGCATCCCTAGAATATCTGAGAAGTAAAATCAGGTATTAATTCTCTTATTTCACAGCCCTCAGACCCTAGGACTAAAGCCAGGTGTACAGTCATCTTAGGCATTTGACTGGTTTTGGAAGTTTTTAGCAGTCCAGTTCTGTGTTTTAAAACGCAGTTGTGACAAACCTGTAGCTGCCGTTTGACAGTATCTAATTAACTTTGTCTACAGGCTGATAAAAGCTTTACCTTCCAAACAGTTTTGGCAGTATCATGTTCTGGGGGTAATCTGCTCAAGTAGCTGTGCTGCTGTTCATTGTCTGGCAAGTTTTCCCTACTGTAGTCTAGACCTAAATTTATCATGTACCTGTTCTGTATCTGAGCAGTGGTCGAGATTTTGAAGTGTTGATAGAGACAAGGGAAGTGTTATATCTGACCTTGCTGAGAAAAATTGCCATAATTGATAGAAAAGTGGGATGGGGAATTTGGTGAAAGGATGATCAGAATGGATTGAGATGAGCAAGTGGACTACATCATGGTACATGGTAGAATTACAGTGGCTAGTACAAGAGAAGCATTGGAGATTCAGATAAGAAAATGGGATAGATTTTAATAACCTAAATTAGATTTTAAGCAGTTAGATGTAAGAATGCTTAAAATTTTATATAAAAAAAAATGTTTACTTACTGTTTCATGTATCTATCATCACTAAGTTAATTATGTTTTATTAAATACAGCTGAAAGCATTAAGGCATTGGTAATAAGTTGACCGCTGTGAAATTCTAATTTCTTCAATGAGATTTGAGGCCACTGGGTTATCTTGCAGAATGCTGTGTTAGATAGGATTGAGAAACAGCAAAAGTTGACATATGAAAGATGCAGAGTGGCAGATTATTTAGGGATGACTCTATTATAAGCTGCCTATATAGTTGTTTTACTCGTGCTAGACTTTAAGGTCAATGTATTCTAAAATGAAAAAATGCTTGTCTGTTTTCTTCCATCTTTGCTTCTTTTAATTTCCTGATAGCTATGTTCAATGTTAATTATATTAAATTTATTTTATTTTCAATCGGGAAATTTGGTGGAAAAATATCACATAGCTTGCCACAGAACTATTCTTGTTAAATAAATTGAAAACATTTATTGACATGTTTTACCTTTTTAAAGAAAATTCAGTCAGCATTATTTAGTGTTTTTAAAGTAGAACAGCATAAGCATTGATAGGTCCTGGAGTGTGAGCCCAAGTAGTCAGGATTGTTTCCAGCTTTCCCATTATTTTGAGACAAGCTGAAGCCTAAGCTTCTCATCTGATAAGAAGAGGAGAAATATGTTTTTATGAAGTCTTCTGAGACCTTTGAAAGATGGTATCAAGATGAGTCCAAAGTAATAGTTTCTTTCTTTTTTCTTCTGAAAGTTTTCTCCATGAACTCATTAGTTTTGAAATGTTTATAATAGATTTGCATATTTGAGTGAAAAAATATGAGTGAATGTGGAAGCAATATTACATACTTAAAATACTTCCAGCACTCTAGGCGCATCAGAAACTCTCAAACATTACTGTTTGTTAGTTGAAAATGATAAGTGAATTTTAAAAAAAAAAATAGTACAGAAGCTGTCAGAGAAACTTCCAGACATTCCTAAATGACTGCTTAAGTGAGGTGAAAGTCTATGAACAACTCAAGCAACTTACAAACTCCTACAATAGAGATGAAAAACAGGAAAAAACTTAGTATTCCCTATAGAATCCTCAACAGGCTTTAATAATTGGTACAGTGTTTTTAGAATGGATTATACCCATTGCAGAATGAGGACAATTTTGTTACCAGCATTTTTGAACTACCAGGTTCATTTTAATTTTTTAACTTTTCTACAGTAGGCACCTTTTAAAGGCAACACTGTGACCTCAAAAATTATGAAACACTGCAAGAGTGGGAATGCTGAAGCTTTGTATTGCTGGTTTTGACCTGAACATACATTCTTTGTGGTGTAGTTGTTGCTTTTTGAAAATGGCGTGGTTAGCTGAATTGCATAAAGCATTGCTTTCTTGTGAAAGGTACTGGTCCTATCTCAACTCATCCTTACGTGGGCAGGGTTTAGTAGAGGTGGGGATGCATCTCAGAAATTGCTTACTTGAGCAGTCTGTTCGGACAATTATGAATGTTATTAGTGGTCAACATTCTTACGTTCATCCATAGCCAGCAAGGATACCTCAGATATTTTGAAATTCTACTATGCTAAAACAAAACTAATAATATACTTTGATAAACTTAAGATGGTGATCTGTGAGGGCCATCGTGAAAAAGGGATATTTAATACACACAAACAGTTTTGCCCTGGGAACATGAATTCAAATTCTAAGTAAATTTGTAGTTTTTGGTTTGCTGTTAATTAGAGCTATTTGAATTTTTGCTGATCAGTCTCTTGTGTTGAAGAAATATTTTTTTCTGTAGACTTACATGAAAAAAGTACACAAATCAACATATTTGAATTAAAATCAGTGTTAAAAACAACTATAGCAGTTATCCCATGCCAGGCCATTTTAAACTACACACCATAGTTAATTCGTGAGGTAGATAGAACATAATCTGATAGCTTTCTGAAGACAAAATTAATTTATTTGGCCTGAAAACTGTTAAGCATCTAAGCATAATTGCCTAACAATTACAGAGCTTCACAGGAGGGAAGAATCTTTTTTTTAGTGCCTTATCAGCATGTTTAATTCTTTATTATATTTTGATACCTTTTACCTTAATTTTTAATTTACAATACATTTCTTCCCAAATGTTACAGCTGTCTTGTTTTTATCCTTAAAATTCTGAAATGTGCTTGTGGTAATAATAAATAATCTTTAGTATTAACATAGATGTTCAGAATCCTATCTGTTAAAGAGAAGATTGATTTATTATCCAAAGTCAAGTTAAGGAGAATTGAGAATATTAAAACTCAGAGTTAGTTTACCATTATAAAAGAGATTTTAAAACAAAATAGAAAAGATAAAAGTTCAGTTTTTCTTTGCCTCAAGAAGGATTTCTTTTTAGAAGCTTGAAGATAGTCATCTCAGCATAAAACAGCTGCATTTTGGTGAGTTTTACTAGTGACCCCTCTGAAGTGTTTAATTATTTTGGTTCCTAGAAGACCTCACAAGAAGCAGTAAACCTTGGTGGATGAGTGATGCATCTGCTTTTCCAGCTTCAATTCCAGTCAATGACACGTTAAGTAGTCACAATCGACAGAAAAGATCAGTAAGCCTTGAACGGTTTGTGGAAACACTGGTAGTAGCAGACAAAATGATGGTGGGATACCATGGCCGCAAAGACATTGAACACTACATTTTGAGTGTAATGAATATTGTAAGTTTCATCCCTCTCTGTGTTCATCTTAATATGCACGTACTGAAATTATAAAGCAACCGTAAAGTACTTATTTATTTATTGACATGAAAAATGCTTTAAAATATGTATCATATGGCAAATGCTAGCATCATGGGAAAAGTGTAGCACTGTTTCTGTCGAGTATGCTCTGATCACTTTGAAATTGTTTGCCTTTAATTCTAACTTCATATGATTACATTTAGATTGTACAATTCTATTCTGTTTAAGTCAGCAGTCTAAATGCTCCTTGTGCTGGATGAATTATGGAATAAGGTACAAACAGTTCTGACCAAAAAGTGTCACCCAAGAAGTTTGTTTTACAAAATGGTCATTTTGTTTTGGTCAAAAAATAACTCTTACTCAGGTGATAATGTTATATAACGTAAAATTACATGGAGAGAACAGGTTAATTTTTAACTATGGAGGGGACAAGTAATGTTTCTTGTCTGACTTTGTGCCTTTTCTTATTTTCTGGAGGTCAGGTTGCCAAACTTTATCGTGATTCCAGTCTAGGAAACGTTGTGAATATTATAGTGACTCGTTTAATTGTCCTCACTGAAGATCAGGTAAGAGCTGTTGTGCTAAGCTTTATATCCCTGGAATACAATTATCGTGTAATACAATTTCATTTAATTATTGCTTGAAATGGCTGCATCTGAGTACAAAACCTATCTTGTCATCTTTCACTACTTTAATCAAGATGAAACAGTTCAAGGCAATGTTCCTCATGTATCATCTCAAAGATATCTGTTCTCACTTCAGGTGAATATTTATACACCTTTGGGGATGTCATTTTTATTTTTAGATCTTTATTTTGATATTCTTATTTTTTTTGTATTGACATAATCATTACTAAAGTTGGAGCAGAAAGAATGCCTGTTCAGTAATACACATCTGAACTTGGGGTCAGATTTTACAAAGATAAAATTTGGCAAGAAGAGTTTATTCCTAGAAACCACTGCTTCTAATGATAGTCCCATTTTAGTTTTCAAAAGGCTTGACAACTGACCTTAGTAATTTGTTTGGAACATTTCTGGTATGCATGTTGTATTGCAGCCAAACTTGGAGATAAACCACCATGCAGACAAGTCCCTCGATAGCTTCTGTAAGTGGCAGAAATCCATTCTCTCCCACCAAAGTGATGGAAACACCATTCCAGAAAATGGGATTGCCCACCATGATAATGCGGTTCTTATTACTAGGTATGGTCATTATAAGTATTGTGTTTATTTTATTTTATTTCTGTAGCCGTGTTCTTACCTTACATATATGTAGGCTAGTTGTAATGTAATTGGTAGGTAATTTTAAGAGGACTAAAATTAATAGATGGCTTGTTTTAAGTATACCAGACTATTAAACTATGGATTAAGAATTTGGACAAGTGAGATCTGCAAAAGACTTGCGTCTGCTGCTGTTTTCACTTCATAATTGCCAATGCAAAGTATTCCAGTAGAACAGATGGATCCTATTGAACATTTTATACTTTTTTAATTGAAAAGAATTCATAAGATTATGGAGAACAAAACAGTACAGAAAATATTTTCTTAACTGTTTATAATCCTTTTTTATAAGAATTTCAAGCCAGAGTCTTAACTTCTGTAGTAGTACTTCTGCTGAAAAACAGGTTCTTGCAGATTCAGGCAATGTGTGAATCTGGTTTGTAGCTGTTTTGATTTATTATACTTGATTAAGATGAGAACTGACAGTTTTAATAGGTCATTTAAAGGCTTGCATATGTACCCATTTGTTTACTTCTATTCCACTGTTACTGTGATAAATTCAACAAAGCTTGCACTGTAATCTTGCAGTCCTGATAAATATATACCCGTTGGTCCTTTGCAGTTATAGGTAGGCAACTGTATTTCATTAGGACGTCGGTTTCCCCATTGTTTAAGGAGACTGTTTATTCTTTTCTACCTTATTTGAATAGCAGCAGATCCAGCGGCACTAATTTGGATTAGGATTTCTTTGTTACAGTTTCTGCTTTCGAGGACAAATTCTGTACTGCTTGGTATGTGATCTATTTGTGGAATCACTGTGTTCACTAAGTAAAATTTTTTAATAGTCATTAAAATAAAGAATCTTTTCTGGAATTTTGTGTTGAAGGTAAGAACGTGGCTGGTGGTTTGGTTGTTTTGTTTTTTTTTGGATGGGTGGTTTTTTGTTAGCTTTGTTTTGTGTAAGGAACATTTTTTTGAGAGAGAAACTAAAAGCTAATTCATTACTTACATGCATTTTTGCATTCATATTCAAATATAACTGTTATATGTGGTCATGAACACTCCATAATAACAATTAAAATGAGTACTGGAGTGATTTAGAGAGCTGTTATGGTACAAGAAGCTCAAAAAAAAAGATTAAATTGTTTAATAAAAGCAAGTGGAATGAAATTAAAAATAAAATACATTACATTCTAAGATCTTGATTTTTCACACGGACTTTTGTTTATGCTCTGTTTTTGCATACAAGTAATTCCTTTAGTAGGGCTGCTCACATGTGAAATTAAATACATCTTTACAGCTGTGCTACACGTCAGGCTTTTACTGGTGTAATTTAGGTGGTGAGTGAAAAAGTGTAATCTATAGGTGATATCGTTGTGTCAGTTGAAGCCCCCCAGTACATAACGTATAAGATGCATTTGCAACACCGTGTTTTTACTGTTATGGATTAATAACTTGATGTTTTGTTAGTGTTACTCTGGCACTGTAAAACACAGCTGTTGGTTTTATTTCACTGTTGTACTTTAATACATTTTATTACTGTATATTCTGTACTGGGTTCTCTGTTCTGGTAGGATGTTCCCAGTATAGGTACTAACACTGTTCCAGATGAAATATTAAGTCATGCAGACCTTTAAATGCAAGAAGAGCAAGTTTTCAGAGAACATGAATAATACCCATGGAAAATTAAGGGTTTTTTTTTGGCAAGAAATAGTAAATATTAATGATTTATTTTAGTCTTCTCTATGGGGACTTACTAATTATATAAGTATCCTGCAGAATTTCTTTAGGACTTGTATATGCTACCTTTTAAAAAGGACATAAGTTATCAAAATAAATTCTGAGTATGCTTCTGAGAAGCATATACCTGTATATTAAACCAACAAAGTGCCTCAGTGTAGTATTTGCAGGGTAGTAATACCTACCTTTATAAAGTATCACTGAACCTGTATGTTCCGTTAAACATGTTGTCATGATAGAGTGTTTGTATTCCTTTTTTACTATAATAACTGTACTTTATAAAAATAATCCCAAAGGCTACACTGATACATTTGAGTGGTTCAGTAAAGCTTTTACTGAATTCACTAGCTGTCCTTGCTCTTACTGATAAAATGTATCAGCATGTGTGAAGGATAGATTTTTAATTTTTTTTTAAGTTTGGAATGAGTAAAGATAAATTCGTATCAATATAAACGTGTAAATCCATTAACTTTAAATAATTCTAGATTAATTACTACAATTGTAAAATGCTTGTTTTCATTATATGAAAATCTCACCTCACCTGATGAACCAGAGTTTATGTATTATATATCAAACAGAAGGGTATAGCCACAGTGCTTTAAACTCCTAACATGTTGGAGAGGTATTTAAGAACCTCTTCTACCTGAAGGCATTTGAACCTATACTACCAAATATTAATTTATTATTTATTATTATTTTAAGTTTCTGAAAACACTGTAATAGTGTTTTGAAAGTTGTTTCCTGAATCTGTCCCACTGATGCTGCTCTGCTTTGTATGAAGTCATTACATTTTCATTGAAGTTGACGCTGGAAGCATTTCTGGTCATTGTGTGTATTACTCTTTTATGGAAGTTAGAAAAGTCTCATTATTCATAAAATTCAACATTATGAACAGCTTTGTGTTGATCAAACCCAGATTTCCTGTTAAGTAATTGATGTATTTGAATATATTAATTACCTGGTCCTGACTGAGTATTTAAGTTTGCAGCCACAACGGTCTTTATTGGAAACGTGGGACAAAATTGTTAAGAGAAGGAGTCATTATCTTAATCTGTGCAAATAAAGACAGCTCCTCAGTTTTTCTTAGCAACAGATTGCTTTCCTCTGTGATCCTTTAAAGATGGCATACTCTGATTAGGGAAAAAAAACGAACCAGAATTAAGGGTGCTAGACACCTAGGGGTGTCTGCTTGACCAATGTAGACAGATTTTGAACCCAAAACCAGCTGTATGCTAAAACCAGGTAGCCTCACTGGCATGGAGGTATGTTAAGCTAATCTTAGCAAGTCCCATGGAGATGTTACTATGCCTGCTAGGATCTTGTCTTTGGACAAGGGTCTACCTATATTCAGTGTGCCTGGTGTACATACTTCTCTTTTGTGGTCCTGCAGGCACCCTGCAGAGTGCTTATTTTACTAAATGGGTAGGGTCTTGAAAAAAGCTTCTTAGCTGATAATAGAAAATAAGGCAGGTAAGAGATTGGTCCAAGTAAGAGCCTGATTCTCAGTCAAGGGAGCAAAACCATGATAATGGGAGTATGGTATTACTTGCACAAACATACTAACAAAAATAATGTGTTCTCAACTCACTATGGTGAGTATTTGGTCTGGTTAACTGCTTTAGTGCTGCTAGACTGTGTGAAAATTAGCAGGAACATTTCCTGATACTATTGGCAGCAGTAACATCTTCCTTCAGTTTCCTTGGGAGGCTTCTTAGAATCCCTGAAATTGGTAAGAATGGATTATCATCTTAAGAGAAACTCAAGGCTATGTAATAGACCTTATACAAAGGGCTTATTACAGAGTCTTGCGGTGTTGAGTGACTTTGTGTAACAAGAATAGCAATTACACAGAACACTGATAATACTTTTCTGTGTGTCACTGTTGTTTTATGTTCTTTTATTCATTTACAGAACATTTGTTTGTATTTTCTGAGTTTTAAGCACTTCATGTTACTTCAGGATAAGGCTGTGACTAAATTAATGTTCTGGATCAATGAGATCTATTTTTTTTCCATAGGAGTCACTTTTTGAAATTTCATGTCATTTTTTTTTCCTTTTGGAGACTATATTTAAGTCTCAGACTAATATTTTAGCCTGTAGTTGTCCACAGTGGGTTCTTGAGGACAGGTGATAGTAAAATACTAAGCAGACAGATTTTAATTACAAAGTTGATGAATAGTGTAATGTTGATAAGACAATGTCTTCTTTTCTTCTATGAGGTGACTTCTATGACTTTGACTTTGGATAAACATAGTGAATTGTTAAAATTATTTCATATCACATATTAATAAAAAAAGGAGAAAAACTTGTATGATTCTCTTATGTCAAGTGTTTCAGAAGACAAGAAGGAATCTTTGCATTTGGTTTTAGTATTCCTGCAAAAAGTGATAATCTCACTTTTAAGCCCAATGTCTGGTTCTCAGATTTCTCATTTTAAGACTCAGAGTAAGTTCTGAGAGTCTCTGTATATTCTCATTTGTGCATCCCACCCCGTGTGTAGAATTATCTTTTTGCCTTTTTGACATTCTTGATTATTTGCTGATACATATATATACACATATATATGTATGTATTTTAACCTTCATTTCAACCTTCAAAATTTGGAGGTGACAATGTACACTAAATATTGTTACTTATATTTGAAGAACTGTTAGAAATGCACTTAGACAACTTCTGAAATTAATGACTTTTATCTTGAAATACACAAATCCTTTACTTGGATTGGAGTCCACGTGAGTTAGTTTTACAAGTGGTTTAGTGCTTTAACAACAACTCATTCCACAGCCCCACTGAATTAATATACTCTGTTGAAGGAATTACTTGCCTGAGTAAAGAATCAGGGCCACGAGATGTTTTTACTGACTAAGCCAAATACACCTTGATTTGTAGGTTAGACTGGTGTCAGTAAAGATGTTCAGTACCCCAGATGGTTTAATTTTTCTGTTTCTGCAGTCTTTAAAAGGGCTTGCTCATTTTAATGTTTGTGAGACAGTGAATGAGCTCTCTTCTAATACAACCATTTGTACTTTTGCCAGGTACCATTGTACTTGTAATTTAGTAGGTATTGCTAAGCAGTGTTGTATGGCTGCTGTTAGCATTAACCCTGGTATTAGTACGTAACATTTCCCAACACCGCTGAACCCCGTATGGGAGGCATTAGCATTAGTACACAACCGGTGGATTTTTAAAATCTTTCAAGGAGAGGAAATTTTACAGAACTGTTTTGTGTTTATTGTATATAT